GTATTATTAATGAAATTTTTGCATTCTTCACTACTCGCACCTTTTCCGCGATGAAGCTTTAAGTTTTGGTTTTATGGAATCCTGCACGATTATGGTTTTGAAGTCCTTTCCAGAATTTGTTGCTAAAAAGTGATAATTATTGTTCATCGAAACATGAGAAGAGCTAATCTGTTGTTCGGATCAACTAAACGAATTCCTTTTCAAATCATAAAATCAGAACTTATTGCGTTCCCTGAAAGACCGACCTCTCGTGAAGTAGTGATCAGTGCGATAGTTCGAAGCTGTCGATTTGTTTGTGACATGCCGATAAATTTAACAATTTCCATTGCTCACTCGTTTTTACTGTTGCTTTTTTTGATTCGTTGTATTGTAATTATCAGTATAAGTTGCATCAGCATGAATGCTTCTGTAATTTTTAGTATTTGTTTTCTCCAAGCGATTTTTATGCATCCACACTACATGCACAGTGATTGTGTCCTATTGTCGCGACAATTTTTCACTTGTTTGTTCATCAAAGACATGTTTATTTGTATAAATTGCGTTGTTCATAAGGGGTGCCTCAGCCAGGCGATAAATCGGCCAGTAAATAAATAAATTTTAATAAGCATATGTACGCATCAAACTGTTATTCGTTGGAATGCTTGAACTAGGTCGGCAAATTCACAGTATTAATCACGTTAATTTCAACGTTGATAGAATTGTGTCGAGTAATGAGATATGCAAAAATGCTGAGGGTCTGGTTATATGATTACACAAAAAAGAACAAATTTGTTATTGTAACACGGTATTATTACACATATTTGTAGTATTATTTGAATTATTCAATTCAATATCTCGCAATACAACATCGAAATCACTATATTCGTCTAGATTTCGCGATCAAGTCCGTGCTCTGATCTCATGCATAAATGCAATCTTCAGGTGCTGTGTCACAAACAATTCAGATATAAAGACCAATTTAATTAAACGAAAGTTTCAAATGAAAAGAAGATGTAAGCAACTCTAAGCGAGAGTAATGAAGTAGAACCAAAAATTACTGGCAGTGGTCTATGACGCGACATAACACTTTGTAATTCTGAAATTAAATCAGATTTAATGAGCTGAAAATTAAACTTGCTACCATTTGGCTTAACAAACTTTTGGGATAACACGTCGTATCAGATCGAAGTTGTCGTAAAGGTCTATTTTTGCTTATCAGTCTTCCTCTGTTTTATCACCTAACTTCAAAATGGTTTTTTGCGGTCTGCACAGATGATAGTTTCAGTGATCAAAATTATGAGCTTTTGTCCAATATGGATTCATGGGCTAGTTAAACAATTCCATGAGGCTTTCATGATTTGATTGATAAAGAAATAATGTGAAGATGGGATCTACACATGAACGTATTGTTAGCGATGTGGGGAAAATTTTCAGTTCAGCTGGTTTGTTTGGATGTTTTATTGTTTTTTTAAAAGAAATTTCTAACCTCGCACTCGCATTCCGAGCAATCTTTTCGCCAACGTTCACCTTCTTTAATAGCTATTCCCTCCCAGGTACAGTCGTGTCTATGGGTACGTCGTCTGCAAATAAACTGTTCTCTCATAATCGTTTATAACTTTGCAAAATTCAACCGATTTTGAGCACTTATTCCGTATAATCATAACCTAATTGCTCGCTGACAATGGTCTACTTGCGATTGAAGTTCTTTGAAACTCTTACGATTAGCAATTGAAATTTCCGTACTCATTATTATAAATCACCTTCTCAGAGACCTTGATATTTCAAGATTGTTTTTTTTTGGCTGTTCATTCCCCTTCCATGATAACGTTTGCCTCATCTGTTATCAAATGCTTATAACATTATACATCATTGCTATGCAATCAATGAATTTCAAACTAACAGCATACTCATTGCCTTAAGGAAATAAAGCTTTGAGAAAACCCACAAACCTTCGATTACCGAATCGATATCGATTTTGAGNTTTCCATGATATCGTTTGCCTCATCTGTTATCAAATGCTTATAACAGTATTCATCATTCGTATGCAATCAATGAATTTCAAACGAACAGCTTACTCATTGTCTTAAGGAAATTAGCAAGTTTTGAGAAAAATCACAAACCTTCGATTACCGAATCGATATCTATTTTGAGAAATTGAGCACTGTTGATCACAACACGATCGCCATGCGTTCAAGTTAACAAACGGTAGTTTTGCGCAAAGACCGTAACTGGTTTTGTGTTTACCGACATATTTGAAGATATCCTCCTTCAAGCAAGATTTTTGATGAGGTTGAAATCAACGACAGTGTGAAGTCAATTTATAAGATGAAATTCAAGAAGAAGTCAAAATAAAACCTGAATATGTTGGATCGAGTCAGCATTATCGCAAACAATTCTTGCGAGCGTTGTCTTTTGAATTTCTTTTCGTTGTTCGTCAGTGAACACTCCTTCTCGTTCATACCTGAATCACTCTTTCTTTTCATTTACAAATTCACAAATTTTTTTTGACAAGAGCATTGAAACACCATTGTTAGATCCATGAATTGTTGATGAAAATGAGTGCAATTCGAAGAAATCGTATCGGAACTGAACCTAACCAAAATCGATCACCAGCTCGCACTCGATTGAATTGTTCAGCAATAATACACGAAAACGTCGGACCAATCAACGCATCACCTAACCGTTTCTCAGACACACCACCAGCATATAAGTCAATATTACCTGAAATATGAGCTGTCACCTTTGTCTTTGTGAAAATTTCAGCCAACTGAAGATGTGGAGAATATTCATTTACATTGCAAAAAATTTTCGATTTCCAACAAAACTGGTACTATATTTAATAAAAATTGAATGCGATCATTAGAGCAAATGCAATAGGTAAGTCATCCTAGATTTCAACAAGTTTTTAACAATGAAACTATCAAATTCTTCAACAAAAATATCCATCCAATAACAAGTGAATCGATCTGTTTTAACCTGGATGGCCATACAGCTGTTTGAGTTTAGCAATCGTCCTGACAGGTATTATACCGTCCAGATCATTCCAGTTCTCAATAGCGCTCAAGTTACACCATTTGCGGAATGCAGCATATCTCAACTAACAATTATTATTTGAAAGCATCATTTTGAAATTTTCTTTCTGTGAACATCTCTCAGTATAGTATCTTTGATAGGATGTCTCTGATATCAGGTCAAACGATAAAATTAGTAGTCCGGAATGGTACAATCGTAAAACTGCGAGAATTCGAATTGTTCAAAAATGTTTTCCAGAGCAAACCAATAAAGATGCCATCATTATGGAAAGTATTTCAAGGAAGAACCAGTAAAGTTGATAAAGTAAATGAACAATACTACCAGGTATCTACGTACCCAGGTAAACCATGATCACGACCTCGTTGAATATTCAACGATGCCAAATCGAGAGCAAGCTGAAAGCAGATCGAATAATGAATGCATCAAGTTGATTGAATCGAACCAAGATATCCAGAAACAGACGTAATCATAGATCAGATCAAAGTATTCATTTAAATGAGAATTGGTGAATGATACTTCATTCAAGCAAAAAGATCATTTTGTTCACAATTTACCGAGAAGATTCCTCCAAAACTTCTTCAGCGCTTCAAATTTTAGAATATATTCAATAGGAAAATTCAAGAAATGAGACATTCAAAGGACACCAACATTATATGCACGATGGAACAATTGTTCAGTGAGTTCTTTGTTGAGCAATTCTTCGGATAAAGGTTTCTTCATTGGTGATGCGAAAAGACCTCGTAGAAGAGGATCGATTCCACCGGCGGCCAAGAAGGTTTCAGGCGCAAAGAAGGCATCACGCAGCGAAACATGACCCTCACGTATCGGTTTGAAATCAGCGTTTAATCTGAACATTTTGAAACAGGAATATTCCAAGTGCTGAATGTTGCTTGAATGGATGTAAACGGAACGAGTGAATGCGAACAATATCAATAATATTAAGAAACTGATGAGTGTCGTCAACTGGGTTAAGATAATGATGCATGACCAAAAAACCAGTGGATTACCTATAAAGAACAGGATTGATGAGCGTGTGTCCAAAACGGAATGCAGCCGTAGCGAATTCATTCGAAATGCTTGCATCAATCTCAGGGTAATAGCCACGATACGGTCCTATCAGACGCTTGAAGTTGTCCTGAAATGATCTAACCTCTGATTCTTGGACGTTAGGAACTAGTAGTTGTTTTATCAGGTGTAGGCACTTTTCAGAATTCGCTTAAATGTTGTTCATTCTCATTTTAAGATTTACACTCATTGTGAAGGCGGCGAAGCATTCAATCAAAATACTTGCTAGTTGTGGAAAAGAAGATCCCTTACGTTAGTTCAGTAGAGAACGAAATCAACCATCAAACATGCCTGAATTTCATATTATTTGTACGTAATGAAACTTGAACAAATGACTGTGCCCTGACCTGACCAAGTACTTTGGGTAACCAGTGATAGAAGGTGATATGCTGCATCTGCGCACCGACAATCTTTCGTGTCTCTTGGAAGATTGTCTCACTGTCCACACCCGGATTGTAACCTTCCATTATTGCTGCTATACGATTGTGTTCTCGCAGGAATATCGTATGCATAGCCGTTAAACCCAACTGAAGTGTTTGAATGCATTACGCCTTCTAATGATTTTCAAAAATATCAGATCATATCGTTTACAGATCGCATATCAACACATATCAGTACAAGTAACAAATGTGGCAATCGAAGCAAAAACAATCGTAAAACATGTTCACTGAGTGGTATATGTGAACATCATGGAATTTTTTCATCTTCTCCCA